TCAATAACACTCATATTATTATCTCTGAATGTACATTATCTCATATTGATTTTTATTCAAATATCTAGTCAATTACAAACATACATATAAATGAAGGAAAAAGTTGTGTGAGTAACTTGATATGATTATGAGCAATAATTTGTGCTCAAGACGTCATCAGTTAATATTACTGTGTAACACTGTGTGATTTACCAAAATAAAATCTTATGCATAATGGAATAGATGCTAAAACAGGAAGGATCCGATTGTCTTGTCAAGGTCATTCAGGAGGTCGTTGGTTCTGGTTGCTAGTCTGCATGGTTACCCTCTTCAGTACATTACATTGGATAAGATTAAAGTATTTCTGTTGAAGTGTTAGATCATGAAAATATTCAAGGAGTAAAGACCCATTACAGAAATGACTTCCATCATCGGTCTATTTTAGCCTAGTTTTAGAAGGATTCAGTACTAATTGCTTACAGTCGTGTGAGACAATCAGGTAATGAGACGAACACATGGGGATCTGATGACCAATGTGTTTAATTTCTACCAATTTTATTACACTCTTCAACAAACTCATAGATGTTCACATTGATCAACACACCAAAGTAGAAGTCATGTTTGAAAATTGAGACTAAAAACCATAGATTTTCAACAGAACACATAAAATGAATTGAGATTAATTAAGATGGAGAAATAAGAATAATGATAAAGGACACCCCTAAATACTCCAGTTGGAATGACGAACGCTACTTGGAGACAAGTAAAACGGAAGCATTATTGATGCAGTAAGCTGCATAAAGGAGAATCAAATCATTAAAATGTTAATTTATGTATTTAACTTTGAAGTCTGAGGAATAGAAATTACTAGAGAAAGCAACATTTATTATCACAGACACTAGCAGGAACTCCGAAGTCATCCAATTAAATACACCATAAAAGTATTTCCATATCGTAACTTAATAAATTACGTAATCTAAAATCAATAAGTAATGATCATCACTCAGAAGTAATCACTATTAAAAAAAACTAAAAATGATTAGAGCTTGGAAACAAGAACATTGTTCAAAAGGTTAAGAGATTCAGAATATTTATAAAGTATAATTTAAAGTTTGTGCGTCGGTGACACAGAGGTTAGGACGCTCGCCAACCATGCACATGGTCCGGGGTTCGATCACCGGCCACCGACGCACTCATTTACCTCGCTAAGCCAGAAATAATGCTGGTGAAGAGGAAAGGTTGGGCATGAGGCTAGCAACCCCATCCTGTAAAATGAACACTGCTACAGAAACTTCAAGCCACTAGCTTAAAGCCCTATATTCCACTGGGGAACGTGAAGGGAAAAAATTTAAAGTTAAGAGGAGTTCAAAAGAAGAAGAAATAAGACGATAATAAAACAACCGAATGAATGTGGATTACACACCAAGTTATTGTACGAGTTAATGGAAGGAACGTTTGAGGCCAGGGTAGTGAAACGGATTGGATAAACCGCTTATGTGTACACAGTTCAGTATTTTCCTTATGTATCTAAGAGCTTCTGATGTGAAGATATAGCCAGGAACCCTTCGAACAAATCGGCCTTACCTTATATATCTATTGATTTGTTTGATTCGATATTACCTGTGAGAATAAGGCGCTCAAAAAATGAAATATTGGTCCGCCTGATTTTTCCTTTCAACAACAACAGGAGTCAGACAAGGGTGCTTATAATCACCAATGATATTCCTAATTGTGGTGGACTGGATTATGCGTCAGACAGTGGGAAACGAGAATACAGGGATATCCTGGACCGACGTGAAGAACCTAGAAGACCTGGATTTCGCAGATGATTTATGTTTGATGTCACACAAATTCGAAGACTTACAAGCGAAAACCGACAAACTGCTCGAAGAAGCAGCCAGTGAAGACAGGACTCCAGGTGAACATAGACAAGACGGAGGTTATGAAAATAACCAACCAACAACAAAAACAACAGCAGCAACATCCAGCGCCAATCACCATCAACGGGAGGGATTTGAAAGAGGTTACTTCATTCACCTATCTAGGGAGCATTGTCTCAACTACAGGAGGAACGGACGAGGGTGTCAAATTGAGAATCGGGAAGGCGAGAAACACACTCATCAACCTGAAACCAATCTGGAAATCTTCGTCACTCAACATCAACAACAAAATTCGGATTTTCAATAAAAACGTCAAGTCAGTTCTTCTATGCGGATCAGAAACTTGGTAGGTGACAAAGAATATTTCCAACAGCCTGTTGCAGACCTTTATCAACAACTGTCTTCGCTCTATACTGAAGATCAGATGGCCGGAAAGAATCACCAACAAGAAGCTATGGGGACAAACAAAACAAGAACCAATCGCTCAACAAATATTCAGGAGAAAGTGAAGATGGATTGGACACTCGCTGAGGAGGCCGTTGGGTGACATTGCGCATCAGGCCAACGCCCGAGTGGAACCCGAAAGGAAAGCGGAGAGTGAGACGTCCAAGGGTGACATGGGGGAGATCGTGTGAAGATGAGTTGAAACAGTATGGACTAACATGGATGCAGGTGAAAAGTACAGCAGAAGACAGAAGCAAGTGGAGACGTGCAGTTGAAGCCCTATGTTAATGTGCTCGTCTAGACTGTGTCCTACTTGTACGGCCTATGTACTTGGCTACACAGCAGAAAGTGAACTGGCACATGGATATTGCCAACAGTTGAACATTGTTTCTCACATATAGATGAGTAAGAGGTTGTTTGGAGAATTTGAAATGTGAAGATACAGTGAAGGATATTTTTCGAGTCTCTTTTGATAGGCTGATGTTTATCCAATCCCTTTCACTATCGTCGCCTGAAATGTTCCTTCCATTAACTTGTGCTATAACTTGGTATGTAATCCATATTCATTCGGTTGTTTCATTTTCGTCTTATTTCTTCTTCTTTTAAACTCCTCTTAAATTTAAATTATACTTTATAAATATTCTGAATCTCTTAATCTTTTGAATAATGTTCTTGTTTCCAAGCTCTTATCATTTTCAGTTTTTTTTAATGGTGTTTAATTCTGAGTGATGCCCATCACTTATTGATTTTTGAACACGGAATTTATTATCTTCATAATTTAATGTCAAATATATAGATAATATATTGCTTATGTCACTACGTGAGCATAGAAATGGACTGTGCCGCTACTATTGGCGTCATTGTTAGAGTATGCTATAAACCCCTACGGGGCAAAGTTAACTCCATTATGGGTAAGATTTTATTTTGATAAATCACAGTGTGTTATACAGTAATATTAACTGATGACCACGTTTCGAGCACAAATTATTAGTGCTCATGATCATATCAAGTTACTCACACAACTTTTTTCTTCATTTATATACATGTGTGAAATTGACTAGATATTTAAATAAAAATCACTATATGATAATGTACATTCAGAAATAATAATATGAGTGTTATTGTTCAATTGCAATTAGATGGGAAATAAGACGAGTGTTTTTTATATTCATAATAAGTAACTTGTTAGAATGTTGTGATGTGCTTGAATTGAAAGAGAATTTTAAGATTATTTACTATCCTCCTCTGATTTGACTGGCGGTAATAATATCTTCCATATTTCTGGTTGTATTGAGTTATTTCCGTTGCATGTATTGGGTGCAGACTCGATGAACCGAGCGGGATTCAGTAATCAATCTCTCTCTCTATCTACCTATATTACTTCATAGAATCTTAACCCTCTCTCACCCTATTGTGTGGTTGTGTGTTAATGCATGCAGTGCAATCGCTGAGCTTTTTTATAAATTACTTATCTTTTCGGGGTTAACCATTCTTACCTTAGCTAAATTATTATGTTCTGACAATCTGATTACCCCCGATTTACTAGTTTGACCTATATAGTTGACCTCACAGTCATTGCAAGGTAAGGTATTTTGTAAATTATATTATTTTGTTAAATTGGGTCCACCGGGTCTTCTGGCCTACAGAGCTTGTCCCACCTGAGTGAGTTTGTAGGTTTAAATGCCACCCTAATTCCTGCTTTATTAAGAATCCTACGTAGGGGCTCAGATGTCCCGTCCTTATATGGTATAACATTATATGACTTATATTCTCTATTATTTATGTTATCACTACTAGCTTCACAATTATTTTTATTTTGCTTTTGGGGCAAAGTTAAACTTTAAGCACCAGTAGGTACCAACGGACAAATGACCTTGAACGCACCAATCACATGATTAAGAGGAATTTCATGCATAAAATTCATATATTCATGAAAATAATGAATTGAGAGGCATGAAACTGTTAGACATGTTACATGTGACAAAAATACACCTCAATTTTGGACTGGAGTGTAAACACAGTAATTTAACCACATTCTTTGCATATAATTATCTAGTCTTCTAATCCTGACCCTAACCCTAATCTTTCCTTCACCTAACCCTAACATGGAAATATCCTGAAACTAATCCTAATCGAAGTCAAACCAAACCTAATGTCCACCTCGTTAGGTTAACCTAACCCTAATCTGTCCTTAGCCTAAACCTTAAATTAATCTTTCTCAAACCTAACCTGAAACTTACCAGATATCTCATTTAATAACACAACACCTCATTAAGCATGTTTTATCCATGATTACAACATTATTTACCATTCCACTAACTCTTCTACAGAGAGCTTCAAGGTCATTGGTGCGATCGCACTCCGTTGGTATTTACTGGTGCTTAAAGTATAACTTAGCCCCATTCAGAATTTATTATGAGTTATTCAAAACGATTCAGTCTGACTCGGCATTCAAATTAATCCAGGAAATTAGTAGCATCAGCGATCTGGAAACTGACGTTCAGAAGTATCACTAGATAGACAAAAATTTTTATGCCTTTATTCGGCTGTAAAGTCTACTTTTGATTGGTCCACTAATAATTATGCTTCTTTCTGATTGGTTAACTTCATTAAGTTAAATCGATAAAATCACATGATCAAACAAAAAAGGGAGTAAAAAAGAATATGTAATCAGAATGCACACAACACAGTACTTACACGAAATACATGACTCATTAATCGATTATGATAATTTTTCAATGTTTCATCATAAGCTCGTACAATGATATCACGCATTAGTTCATTACTTTTTGATCTTGAAAAATGATGCAGTAAACAAATGACAAATTGAAGTGTTCTCTTTAACCATAATAAACCAATTGATCCAGAGGAATCATCACGATTTATTTCATTGGTTAATAATTCATACACAGTGTTTACATGAAGATTGTTTGCAGCACGTGACACTTTCTGTAAAACAGCAAAAAATAGTAGGTTTACAGCAAGAAATAGTAAAGGATAGATAGATATTTATTAACATGGGGGGGGGTGTTACAGGTACACCTAAATTGTAGTTGTTTCTCTACCACCCATATCAACTAGCATTATAACTACCCACAAACTTTCATCCCCTCCTTTTCAAATGACCTCCTGTATCTCCTGCTCCCAACTCACCACTCACTTCAGAAATCGGGTTCCACTTGGGAGCCTACTAACGGTTTCCTCAGATTATGTTCAGTCTATCTCCTTTTCCTTCTACGAGTTGACTGCCTACCACAGCTCCTTGTTACCTGCTTATCCTTCCTTACAAGCTTTAGAGTAGAGCCAGAGATGAGGATCTAATTGAAAAGTAAATATTTCTTCGCTCAATCCCTCTGTTTTCTAAAGATTGGCTTTGTTCTGAAAAGAAATGTGGCAGTTCCCAGTGGTCGATTTTGAACAATGTATGTTACACATTCTCAAGTGACCTCCTCGCCACACGACCTCCTTCACGTCACCCTCGCACTCACTACCCACTAGTCGCTGTTGCTGAGGTTTTCCCTAAATTTCTCATCTTATTGAGGTGTGTTAATCTGTATTGCTTTAGTTTGATTGGACACTAGTAACTAGTGTGACGTGTCTAGTCCTTGCTGTTTGCTGTAGACTGAATTTTATCAGTCAGGTTAGCAGTGTGGCCACCATTCTAGGTAGCTCGTCATCACGGTGCACATTGATTTGATGATATTAGATGGTTGGAGGTAATCGGCAGGAAGCCTTGGAAGTAATCTCTGTTAAACCTCTCCCGTTGATGATGAATGGTTCTGGTTGTTCTTGCTGTTGGTTGGTCGGTTGGTTGGTTATCTTCATCAGCTCCATCTTCTCTATATCCACCTGCAGTACTTTCTTCACTGCCAGCTTCTTGTGCCAGCCAGTTTGTTGGTTATCACCTATAAGTCTTCGAGTTTGTGTGACATTAAACATAAATCACCCACACTCGAAATCCAGATCTTCTATAGTCAAAGTATAAACATATTTTTGTCTCAAACATATGCGTTACTCCTGGCTGTTCCCTCTCGGATCTAATTTTGCAGACGAATTTAAAGTTTCTTCTGATGCTTATCTTGAGAACTCTCTATCAGTAGTCACTGGAGACTTCAACTCTTGCGAGTGTTTTTAACTAGGTCATGTAAACATTGTCAACTTCACTACTCGACTTGACAAAACACTTGATTTATTGTTCACAAATGACGTTAGATTATATGAAGTATGCAAACGTGTTCCAATACTGAGTTCTAATCGCTACATTATTATTATTATTACCGTTCAACTTACTAGCCTTCAATTCATAAGTTCACGATTCTACTCATTTAAGATGCACATTTTACGCAGGACGGAACACAAGAATTGGATTTCACTGCTACCTACCAATGAATAAGCTTCATGGAATATACTCTAACATTTTCTTGAGTTAATAGACTTTAAAATTACAATGTCAATGAGTTTTACACTATCTTAACAATTTACACAATGCAATCACATTTTCAATGTTGACTTCGTTATACAAACCAACATCAATTAAAGGTCATTGAAAATTTAGCCGCATCCAAAAACTGTTTCGCCCTAGTTTCGAACTCTTCAGCAATGACCACCGACAACTCCAGCAGTGATCCAACCGAAGATGAGGCTAAACCCCTTTATAACTGAACGGACACTGTCTTTCAAAAGCGCACAGTACGCTGGGAATCAAAACCTGGGGGTCAGAATGAAGGCCAAGCATTCTAACTGCTAGACATCTACTGGGTAGAATGATTTAAAATTTAAATATCTAGCACTCGAACAGATATCTGTCCCTAGGATTAACTGAGTCAGGTTTCTTAATATCTTTCACAAGCCACTTCACAGTATATTTCCAAATTTTAGAGGACTGACAAATCCTCAAAATATACACTGAAACTGGTTAGTACAACAGGATACAAAATCAGTTTTCGTCGATTCCAAGGAGGTGAATAAGTAATTGACCTATGAATCATGACTTTACAAAAATTTATTTGCATAATTTGGTTTTTCTTGATTGATAATAGCGTTAGACCTCTGTTTAAGTATCGATCTATTCCTACTACTCATGTACCAGAGCTTCGTGAATAACATTTCACACGGGACTGAAGTTTAGAACATATTCAGGAAAGGTACATAGTACCTTGTATTTTTTTAAACTTACTGATCAACCGATAGGAAGGTGCATCACTAAAATGACTTATCAACAGAAATCCTGTATGGACAAAACAGCATCTTCAAAGGTTAGTGTTTGCAGGGATTCTGATTGGTTTCAAATTTGATCGCCTACTGATATCAGACAGAGGACTACTGAAAACCACGGCTCACTGGAAAGCTCTTTCGTCATAGTTTGGGAGTCCTCAAAAGTGCACACGTATAACCCCACTACGGAGTGAACGCGGAACCTCTAGGTTAGAAGACCGAACTCTCTGGCTATTCAGCCACGAAGTGACAGAAATTAGAATTCAGGGGGTCACTGAATCCCTATCCAAGTGCCTGAATGGTCTGATAGCTTGACATCGTAACTTTATGGTCCCGAATTCAATCGCTGCTAGCGTCAAGGGGATGTGAACTGACAAAGAGTCTCAAACTAGGATGAAACAACTTTTCAGTACCTTTTTGGCTTATAATAATCTCTAACTGGTGTTAATGCATAACAAAGTCTACATTGAAATTGTTTAATCACCAAGTTCAAAATTATATACAGTTGTACATTGAAAGATAATTATTCAAAGCTAACAACTAAACAAAACTCACTCACTTTTATATTCCCTTCTACATCATTGCGTAAGATAGCAAATCTTGAATCCCATAAACCTGAATATTAATTATTAGTATTATTATTATTATTAAATTTCTAAATTAAAAACAACCTATTTATTGAAGGCCACTTACCAAAAAATTCACAGATCATAGTTGATATATTTAAAAATGTTGGTACATCTAAATTTTCTATATCTTTGAAGACTGGCACATTGGAGAAAAATGTAGTCATCATTCTTCTTTTCAGCTTTTATCCTCCTGATTCCTCACTCTTATTTTGTCAGTAAGTAAGGTTAGAGAAGGATGATTGGAAAAATTCCACAAAAAGGTGATAAAGGAAACAATAGTTGTGAAAGATTGATTCGCTTGATCTGAAAAGAAAGGAAAATAACCGTAAAAAAATATAGTGTTATCAGTAAATTCAAGAAATGTATGTTAAACTTTGATTGGTAGTTAGACATGTCAAATGTGTTTAGGTGACATGGTGATCAAGGTCGGTTTGGATATATTTTGCTCTCACCTATGACCTTGGCAGGGTATATTTCCGTTTATAGTCATCTCTCACGAATATGCCATTAGTCAGATATGCGTGTATATCATTGTTTTTTACGGTAAACTTACGCACCTGCGGGCAAAAATTTGTCGGTATTTGACCCTAAGTCCACTAGATGGCACTACACCTGTTTCCCAAACAAAGAGGCTTGTGTCATGTGTTTCATCACTACAAGTTGACTTTAAACACTCCTGTCTCGAAAAGCGAGATGTTCCTCAAGTGTATGCAACAGCTTCTCACGCTTTGACGCGGAAGAGGCTACTAATGCTCCATACTTTCCAGTAAATAACAGACCCATCACTCGACGTCGGTTAGCCAGATGCAGAGAATAGGCGGTGCAGTTCCAGATTGAACCCAAAGTATAACACTTCTCTTCTAAAAGAGGGAGGTGATATGTAGTTAGACATGTCACATGTTCACGGTGAGGTTGGATTAGGGTAGTCTGGATATTTTCACGCATGCCTAAATCCTTGGCCAGGAAATAGCCTTTTATGAGTTATCTTCACTCACGCAACAACACTAGCCATATATATATATATATATATATATATATATATATATAGCCATCAATGCTAACTCAGTCAGTGCTTCCGTGTGGGTCAGAAACTTGGCGTGAGAATCACGAAAAGCATTTCTAACAGACTGCAGACTTTTATCAATAGCTGCCTTCACTGGCTGAATACTGCAGAATCCGATAGCCAGAAAGAATTAGCAACAAGAAACCCCGAGGAAGAAAACAATCAAGAACCTATTGGTCAACAAACATTCTGGAGAAAATGGAGATGGATCAGACACATGCTGAAGAAACCGGTGAGTGAAATCACGCTCCAGACAATCCCTCGAGGGGAGGTCGAATGAGAAGCTATAGATGATTTATGAGTCCGAGTGTGACATAGAGGATAAAGCGTGTGGAGGAGATGAACACTTATGGGTACTTGTGAGACCAGCTGGTGAAGAGGACCGCAGAGAAGAGAAGAAAAACAGATATCCACTGTTGTAGCCCTGTGTTTCACTCGGAACCGAAGGGAATAAAAAATATGAAAAGTTGAAGCTAATATGAAATAAATGCAACAAACCTTATTAAGAAATATTATTAAATAAGGATTAAAATTAATAATAATAATATGAGAGATAAATAATGATGTTCACTTTGATTAATTCGACATTTTGGCGAAATATTCGTAAATCACAGTGCCTCCTCAGTGATTCGATTTTACAACTCAACAATAGAACCATACATTTGGCCCTGGGTTCGATTCCCGACTCACACACTTCCAAACCTCGCCTAGTCTGCTAGTCGATAGTAAGCCCAGCAAAAAGAAGAAAAGTTGGGCGTGAGGCTATCAACCTAGCCCCGTAAAAACAAACGACACCATCACCACTGAGACTTTAAACCTTGAAGCCCCTAAACAAGGAATGAAAATTAAGAAACAAACGATAAACGATAGTCTGCTTTGATTCCTGTCAATATTGACAAATCGAACAATCAGGCTTGTTATTATTATTTATTATTATTGTTTCCTTTAATTCCTAGAGGAACATAGGGCTTCAACCGTGCGTCTCCATTGCGTTCGGTTCTCTGCTAGAGTCTTCACCTGGTTCGAAGTCTGCCCACACGTTTTCATCTTCTCTTCACATGACCTCCTCCAAGTCACCTTTGGACCACCAACTCGCCGCTTCCCTTTCGGCCAGGTTCCACTCGAGCAATGGCTTGTCTAGTGATGTCACTTGATGGTTTCCTCAGAGTATGGCCAATCCATCTCCATTTCTTCCTGCCTATTTGGTGCACTATCGGTTCCTGCTGTGTTGGTTCGCTCCAAGAGATCTCTGTTGCTGATCTTTTCTGGCCAGCCATCTAATCTTGAGTAATGAGCGAAGACAACTGTTAATGAAGGTCTGTAGTTTATTTCAGGTGCTCTTTATGACGCGCAGTGCAAGTCCCTGATCCGTATAGTAGCACTGACTGACTTCACATTGGAGTTGAAAATCCCGATCTTATTTTTGATGCTGAGTGTTGTTGACCTCCACACAGACTTGAGAGTAGTGAAAGCTTGTCTTGCTTTTCCGATTCTTGCTTTGATATCCTCGTCAGTTCCATGTGCCTGTAGTTGAAACGATGCTTCCCAGGTAGGTAGGTAAAGGAGGTTGTTTCTTTCAGGTTCCTCCCATTTATGCTGATTGTTGTCAGTTGTTGTTGCTGTTGTTGGTGGTGTTACCCAGGGATTTTCATCACCTCTGTTTTATCTATGTTCACCTGAAGTCCTATCTTTGATGCTTCTTCTGCCGACTTGTTGCTTTCCGCTTGCATACCTTCCAGTTTGTGGGAAATCAGACATATATCATCGGTGAAGTCCAGATCCTCCAAGTTTTTTGTGTAAGTCTATTTTATGCCTGTTTTGAAGGCTTGTTATACAATTTGTTAAATAAATAATGAGTTTACCAAGCAGTAATTCACTCTCTTCTACTTATAACTACAAGACATAACAATTGGAAGCAAATATTACGATTATTATAGATGTCTTCGTTCTACGGGAAACATGGAGTAACCAGTGACGAGGTTAGATGCCTTATCAGCTGACACTACTGACGTGTGGTGACCATACCAAGTCACTGCATTTTTAGGAATACAATATTAAGTGAAATACGACCAGGATGGAAGAAACACAGGGATGATTAGATACAAAAACATGTCAACAATCAATGAAGTCTGTGACTTGTAGTCTAAACCGTGATAAGGTGTAGATTACCTGTATGCAGTCCACAAAAGGCAGTGGACAAAAATTCTTTGCTTCTTACTACTACCTTCGATGTTCTACTGATGTCTTGAAAATATGCTGACTCGTCTATATTTTTTTAGACAAGTTGTTACTGTAAACCTTTCTTCCTTATATGCCTAAACACTTTTCCCAATTTCTTAATATAAAGACACTATGTCTACAGGAGAATTTTTAGACGTTGTGTTCTCAGAACAATGTATTCTGTAATATGTGCAGAACGTCTTACATTTCAGTTTTAGTTGCCACCATGAATTTCCTCAGTATTATTAAAGTTAAATAGAAAACTTTTCTGAAATTAAGTGAAAATCGCCAAATAGCTTAGCAGGGAGACAGCTGGACTAAAAGTCTAAATGTTCCAGGTTCGATCTTGGGTTCCGGCAAAATGTGTACATATATGAGGTCTCTGTGGCCCAACAGTTAACGATTGCATCGGGGGTCCAGTGGCATAATACTCGCTGACCACGCATGTTGTTTGAGATTCGATCCTGGCCGACGCACCCCTCAACTCCGCTAGGCCGGCAAGAAGCCCGGTAAAAAGGAAAGGTTAGTCGTGAGGCTAGCAACCTCACTTCGTAAAAACTAAACACCAGTGCTTCTGAAATTTAAAAGCTCAAGCTTGAAGCCCCCTGTGCTCCTCTGAGAACACGAAGGAATAAGCAAAAATCAATCAAAAGAAGACCGCACCTCCAGCCTTTTTGATAGCGCAAGAAAATTGGACAAAAGGCTGTCATATTTCAAAGCGAGAATACCTACTAAGTTGGTATCCAATGAACGGACATTGTTGTGTTTTTTTGACATAATGCTAATTCGTAATGTAACGCGACCACAATCCGATGTCATTTCTTAACAACTCTCCTCATAAATGACTTGGCTAACTAACTAAATTGTAGTTTCTGACTAGGACTTCAAGAAGTTCACTTCGAATTAGGTCACTGAAGAACAGTGGATCAAAGTTCATTTAATAGGTTTTCAAAGCCTAGAATGTCCCTAAAGTGTACTTCATCGCGAAACAGCATTATTTAGAGAATGAATGAAAACCGAAATTCTCATGATAACTGCTATACCATAACACGACAAAATGGTAGAGTACTAATTTCGACAATGTGACAATCCTATTTCTAATTCTAAGGGAGATTACGAGTACATACTATTGACCAGTCTCAAACTACACTTTTATCAGTTTACGATCAGTTCCAAGCGTCGCTGGCACAGTGGTAAAATGCTCGCCGACCACGCCTCACATGGTCCAGGGTTCGATCCCCGGCCACCAACGCACTCTTTTACCTCTCTAAGCCAGCAATAAGACTTCTAAAGAGGGAAGGCTAGGCATGAGGATAGCAACCCCACCCCGTAAAAACAAACACCACTTTTACCGAGGCTTGAAGCCTCTAGCTTGAAGCCCTATGTTCCACTAGGAACGTAAAGGAATAAAAAATAATGATCAACTACAATCTGAAGTCAGTCATATTATCTCGATAAACTTAACAACTATATTACTAATTAGTTTCTGAACTCCTTCTCAGTGTTTAGTCAAAATTATTTTATTTAATCATGTCATCTCTTTTTTGTGTGCAAGCTGAACTATTATTATTAATACTGCCATTATTCTATTTGACCTCCAGTGGTACATAGGGCTTCAGCAGTACATCTCTATTTCACCTTGTTCTCTACAGTCCTTTTCAGCTGGCTCCATGACTGACCAAAAGCTTTCATCTCTTCCTCAAACGCTCCCCCCTCCACCGCATGTCAACCTCGGATTATTGCTCTACTCGTCGTTTCCTATTCGGGGTTCACTCGAGATTATTATCTGGTTTGCTATGTCTATCTATCTATCTCTATTTCCCTCTCTAGCTGTTTCTTGGGTTGTAGGTATTTTGTTGGTCCATTGCTCGAATTCCCTATTACTTAACCTTTATGGCCATCTAACCTTCAATAACAAGAGAAGGCAGCCGAATGTGTGGTGAGACCTGTCTGCAAGACAGAATTGTAGACAACAATTGACGTCGATGTTTACATCCCAAATCGAGGTCATGAGAAAAAA